ACTAATAAATTCATTCTCAATATACCGACAAAATAATCACAAAATAGATGTTCATCAAGTCTATATACAATAAAATCTTGCCCCATACATGGAAAAATGTAACTATCAATTCATTAAAAAAATCAGGTAAAATTTGCATTTGTCCTGATTTCCCGGTAATAAGGGAAAAGAAGCAATATTATGATTAAGTAATTAATCTGTTTTTATGTAAGGTTTTGGTACGGATGAAAAGTTGGTGTCACCAGCGGGATTCGAACCCACGACCTTCGGCTCAATACGCATCTGCTTTAACCAGTCACGATAGCTCAAGTGGTTAGAGCTAGAGGTTCGAATCCCGCTCTTGGCACTAACTTTTCATTCCGACCAAAACCTTACATAAAAACATATTAATTAATTGAATGAAGTAATACGGTCGATCAGTCCACTAAGTATAATGGATTATGATTAAGGTATGGAGTCGGAGTTATTTTTTCCGAATTACCTTTTGAGCGTTGAAGAATCACAGTTAACAAGTTCAACTCCAGTTTGTTGCAAAAATCTCACTTTATTTATGCAGTTTTATAATAAAATAGAAATACAAATGATTAAATACATTCATTAAAACTTGGCCCTCTCACACTACACATCATGATAAATTCAATCTTATTATGCAGAAAAAATACGAAACTAGATGGCTATAAATTATATACTATAAAACCTATATTTCTTCCGAAAATACCACCCAAATATTCGCTGACGTCAAGCACAGTTCTCATATCGAATGGCATTACTACTCTATATGGAGCCAGAGAATTATGTGAGACACAAGGAACAACCTTATTTAAATGACGGACTTCTACTTTTCAATCAAACCTCTCTTATGTTTAAACTTCGCATGGCCTATTCTTATTCGGATTAATATGAACCCTTTATTATTAATTAATATACTACATTATAAAAAAAAATTGTATATGGACATGAAAAATTTTCAATATCTACTTCTTTTGTGTTGTAATTGATTACACTCTTATAAATTTTTTTTTTTGGTCCTCTGGGGCGGATAAAATATTTTCGTCCTGTACGTTTGTGTTTTTTGTTTGTGTAGTAGTCTGTGTACATTCGTGCAAAATGTATTTTTATGCATATTATTTGTTTAATTTATAGTTATACGTTTCTACAAAACAAATCAGCACTTTTTCTTTTTTGGTAGGCTTAACCGTAGAAAAAGCAGACATCTATGAATTTATAAATGATTGAATCTCAAACTACGATGAAGGAAGTGACTTTGTAAACAGTTACTTTTTCGTACTTAAAATCACGGTTAATCGTCATCATTATCACGAGAAATTCTAATCATTTTACGATTTGTTATTAAGTCATTGATAAAAGCATAATTTTTTAATAATGTGATAATTAATACAATACTACAAAATAATAGATTTTTTATATTGATGAACATCATGATTATTAATTATTAATAATTATTATTATTAAATTATTCAGAAATCGTGAGATGCGGTCTGGTGTGATGTAGGTTTCAGAAAAACATTTTCTTTATCGTGCCAACGTTTCGATCTTTATTGAGATCATCTTCAGGGCCTGGGATTTACAAACATTGTTTACATTTAACAAATACATTTAGGAAAAGTGAATTTATGGAATGCAAAATATATTTTTTATATTCAACCAAAGTATTTTTACGTATGTACGTATGTATGTATGTATGTTTTTACGTACGTATTATGTATGTTCTACTTGTATACTCATGTATGTATGTACGAAACAATAAGTGACCAACAGATTAAAATCTTCTTCCCATTTTGCTGAATTATTGAATTTCTAACATATTTCTAAGACTAGAGAAGGTTGCTTTATTTTATCAGTTATCAGCTTTGGTCATGGCTTATAGTTCCATTCGATTTCAGACGATTACCGTCAGACGACAACCTTGTCCAAACCTGACCCATCTAGTCCCATAAAAGTAAGGATTGAGGTTGACAGCATTGGAGACATGAAACTGCACATCGGTAACCTCCTAAGAGGACGAGCTGTTATGGGTAATGATGCATTATATCAGGAGTGCTCAAACGGTCGATCGCGAGTGCTTTTTGAGTAGATCTCGAGAAGAAAAAAATTTTTAATAAGTAGGTAGGTAACTAAACTACAAAAATGTATTACGTAATAAAATAACACTGCTTGCGGCAAAAGGTGGCTTTATCAAAGGAACGCGCGGCACTTGTCAAAGAAAAGCCGCGTTGTTTCTAGACTAGTAGACAGTACAGTCTAGTCTAGAAACAACGAGAGACAGTACAGTCTAGTTTCGGGCGGCGCGTTTGACGGGAACATTCGAGACTTTCGTTCACGCCGATATAAATGTTGTGCCTGCAGGAATTGGAGTCATTCTGAATTGTAACTTGATGGCGATACTACGTCGATACAAAGTTTATTATTAAATAGTGGAAAATGAGTNATAAACTCGCAATTTTGAATAACTATGAGTTTTTTCATTGATATTGTAGAGAAGAACCTAACTAAACCTAACCCAAACCTTGACTAAAATAATGTACCTATATTGTGCAGAAAGCTAATATCTATATATGCTACGGTACACCCTACCTAGGTAGGTAGGGTGTATCGTGTATGTACGACAACCCTGCATCACACACACTTGCAGCCTCTCAGAGTCGATCGTAAGTAGTCTAAAAATATTGAGGTAGATCGCCAGCAGTTCAAGTTTGTGCACCCCTGCATTATATTAAAACTTAATATACTAGTTTTACGACATGAAGGCTAAAAATGTTCAATAATTATTCAGAAATCGTGAGATGCGGTCTGGTGTGAGGTAGGTTTCAGAAAAACATTTTCTTTATCGTGCCAACGTTTCGATCTTTATTGCGATCATCTTCAGGGCCTGAGATTTACAAATATTTTTTACATTTAACAAATACATTTAGGATGTGGAAAAGTGAATTTATACAATGCAAATCCCAGGCCCTGAAGATGACCTCAATAAAGATCGAAACGTTGGCACGATAAAGAAAATGTTTTTCTGAAACCTACATCACACCAGATCGCATCTCTCGATTTCTGACTAATTATCGATTAACGGTCTCTAATTACCACAAATTATTATTAAATACATTTTAAAGAAAACCTACTTGTACTTTCTGTTATTGTGCTGAAAGGAAAAAAAAACCATGATTTTCTAAATGATTTTTGTTGTGTATTTCAAGAAAAAATAACCCTATTAAAAGGCGCATAAGCTTCTTAATAAAGTTAATATTGTTTAAAAAATAAGTTGTTTTAAGAAAGTACAAATCCCAGACAGGTTGAAAATAAATTCAAAGCCACTACTTAATTCAGTAACTTGGGTCTTTCAAATGTCATTTATTCCTCTTCTGAAGCGGAAAAACGCAATATCACAATCTTTTCATTCTTAATCGAATTCTATTTTTTATATAGTTTTGAATTTTTTACCAACTTTAACTAATTAAAGAACAATTATTTGAAAAGGAAATTAAATATAAAAAATTTGAAATGTAAATAGTCTTTAGATTTAAAAAAGGGAAAAAATCTTAGGTCGTCATATTATTTCATTATCTTAACCAAATATTTAATGTACATAATTAATGAAATACCTTTTAATAATTCAACAGAAATAAGTTAATTTTAGAAGATGGAATTAAATTACGACGAATTATTCAATTATTATCATGTCAAAGAAACCCCTCTGTCCAGAAATTTAATTATATTAAAAAAGAATCGTGAATATAATGTTAATTAGTTTATAACGAAATTAAAGATATGGGAAGAAAAAAATCGAAATTTTTATAGTTTCGACGATGATTTTTTGGGGGCGTCAATTAAAATTGTAAATACATTATATATAAAGAATAAACGAATAATAGATTAAGCTATTTAAAAAGGAAGAATTTGGAGGTTTTATAACTAATACTGAGTAATTAGCTGATTTAAATTGTCCTGCCATCTTTATAAATTTTTCCTATAATTGGACATTTTTATTATATTAACGTTTGTGCTTTGGTTTCCAAATAAAAATGGGAGATGAGTACGACAAAAATGTGAAAAATGTAAAACGACAAAATTATTTATATATTAAAAGTAATCTAATATTTGGCTTGTCTTGCGAATTGTATAAGTTTATGACATAATTTTATTTTTTAACAATTTCAGTGAAGATACTTTAGATTTTCGTTTTTTAACATTAAAAAAATCATACGGGAATTATATACATGTCACATACGTAGCAGGATAGCGGCAAGAAAATTAGGTAAAATTTGCATAAATTTTTCCATACGTCCATGGAATAAGAAATAGGAAGAAAAACTAGGGAATAAGGATTCGAGTCGGCAACCAGACTAAAAAAAATTTGAGAGTACATACTGAATAAAATCTAACCCGAATAGGACAGGAAGAGCTAAATGATCGGAAATGACTAAAATTAAACCAAAAATTCGAGAGTACATATTGAAAAAAATCTAAATCTAAACGAAGGCAGTTCTATACGATGGGAAACGACCAAAATACAAAAAGGCTTAAAAAAAGATTAGAATACCTACTGGAAAAAATTTAATAGGAAGACCTAAACGTCAGAAATGAAAAAAAATATTGAAAGTACTCACTGAAAAAAATCTACCCGGAATAAGTCAGATAGTTCTAAACAATCGGAAATGACCTATATAGAAAAAAATTCGAAAATACATACAGGAAAATTGTAACCGGAATAGGATAGGAAGATTAAGAAACGTCCAAAATTCTCAAACCTTTTTGTTTAAATAAAAATTAACTTTTTTAAAAGATGTTGCTTTGCCGCAAGTTTCACTTGAGAATTTGTTCATGGCAATATAGAACATGTCACTAGGTGGAACGATAGTAGCTGTCAGTGCCATAAAAAAATGGGGTAAAATTTGCATTAATTAGTCCGGACGTCTAGCTAATAATGGTCGAGATGAAAAGTTAGGATTAAGGATTAAAGTCGGATTTATTTTTTGCTGAAATACCTTTTGGTCGTTGAAGAATCACAGTTAACGCAGTTCGACTCTAGTTTGTTATGATGACTTTTAAATCTGGGCTTCGGCCGTTGTTTGGCGGCTGGTGTCGTAACTTGTTTCAACACCGCTTGTCTCTGCATGTGCAAAATTTCCATCGGCATCTTCTCCTGCAAATGACAACCGGTTTTCTTCGAATATTTCATTCAGGAAACAAATTGGGTTTGTATATTTGATAATAGTTGGATCGTCCTATTTGTTTTTATCTGGACTTACGTGATAGTAGTCGACCAACGGCCTATGGTCGATCTTGTGCAGTTCGTTTTCCGCCGTCTGCTGTCTTTTCGTCATGTAATGCCAGTACTGCGACCACAGCAGGTAGATGTACCCGCACATTCCGAAAAATACAAGGTTTATAAATATCCATACCGAAACGGCAATCGCTCTCATTTTTGTCTATTTGAAAGTGACGGAGCGAGGGAAATGAGGTTGATATTTTAAAATGCGGACTTGATCCATGATCGTTTTTATTTTATTTTTTCAAAAATGGTCCTCGACACGGACGACGATGGAGACGTTCGAGTTGAGGGAGAGAGGTTCGTTCGGTTCGAGCTTCCCCTTAGAACTATCCGAGTGTGCTGAAAGCTTAGCCCACTCGGCTGCAATTTATTGATTTCCCGGCTGGACCCGTCCCCTGGAGCACTCTTGTGGGCAAAAGACGAGCTTTTTTCATGATTGGATCAACTCAAATTTCAAACTTTGTTCTATCAAGTTCATCAACAAAGACACACCAGCTTTTGTCCTCTATTATGTATAATTTAGTATTGTTTGGCATATGCATTTTTGAAGTACTGAAAACTATGTAAAAGTACAAATTCTTTTCAAAAATATTAGAAAACAATCAAAATCACAAAATAAAAAATTATATAATAAAAACCCATTAACATGTAAGGTCGGTGGTTTCAAATTATATTTTTTTACCTAACATTGCTGTTTTTATTTGACATCGCTTGGTTTTGGTTTCTCGCCAACTTTAGTAGTTGGTCTCTATGATTTATTTTTGGCAGTATCCTTTTTATATATTTATATAAGTACGTGAAAAATAAATATTGTGTTGGCTATGTACTATGTCTTTGGTATATTAAGCCTAGGGTTTTTTGGTGTTATGCTCGTTTCTTGTTATCATCGACGAATATGATGTATATAACCTGCTGCTAATTTATGTATTCACGATGTTTTCCGTTTATATTTCTATGTTGTCAAGTATGCTCGTCTTTCTCCCTTTTTGTTTTTCATGCTTATCATTTTTCTCAAGTTTTCTAATCGGTGTTTTTGAGCAATAAAAGTCTTTTCTTTCCGTCGTCGTTCCTAAATGACCTTATGGGTTCTTTTTGTGAAATTTGGTCGTTAGCGATCAATTACCTCTGCCATACCCGTTTCCGTAATTCGCCCTCTAAGAGAGTCTACGTGATTCCTGCGAAGTCAAGCCGGTTTTTTAACTGTGAGGGGTTCGGTCCGCACTGCCTCGTCGTTACTTAGATTAAGCCCCTATCTTTGGTGGACGACTGTTGCTTTGGTCGGTCTTTGCGATCCTCGGTCCTTTTCCTTTTTGACAGTTTTAAAAGCTGTATATGGATTGTTGTTAATTTGCGTGTTTTAGAATTTTTAGAGTTGAATATGTTTTGTTTATATATTTTCAAATTTTCGACCTTTTTGTGCATGAACCCGAACGAACGAATTTCTCGATGAAAATGATCTCTCTTTGAATTTTTGTTCTATTTCTGCAATTGTATTTGTTGCATTCAGTGAAGCTTTTATGTTTTTTAAATATTGTCCGAGACGCCGTTGAACCTTTCGGGCCCTCACAAGGGCCGGTATTGTACCAAGGAAGGTCCCAACTGTTCTGCCCTACCGGGAAGCCCGCAACCGTGAGCTCTACGGTACAAGACCCCTTTCAGGCAGGCGAGAAGGGCACTCCTAAGTGGTAGGTTCTTCTGTAGAGCCGGCGAGGAGGCTTTTGGCCCTAAAAAAGTACCGTTGAGTGAGAGGCAGAGCTTCGACCTGTCCGACTGTACCGGGCACCCCGGAGATCGTGAGCTCGTACGACCGTGGGTCCTTTCTAGACTTCAAAGTGGAAACCCTAGTTCCTTGAGTAACTCAAGCGTGGTTTTGAGAAGAGCCGGTGAAAATATGGGCGAGATGTATCTGATGATGTTGAGCCACTTCTTGAGCGATCCGATGGGCAAGTTTCTTCTTTCGCTGGATAGAAATTAGTGACTGGGTTTTTAGTTTTTCCAAAAAACTGTTTTTTGATCCTTGGTAGCCAGAGGTATTTGGGAGGTATGATTTTGGAGGAGCGGGAAGTGGCTACCTTGGATTCTCGTTTTTCTTTATTCAAAAGTTTTGTACAGTTCGTTTATGTCTCTATTTACAATCTGCTAACAATTAAAATTAATTTACATTGTTACTAACCACTATTATATTCTTATTTATAATTTATGATTACAACAGAAAACAAACAATCCTTAATTGAACTGGTAATGTGTGGCGCAATCCATCGACGAACCTTCTGGCAGTTCTAAAGCCAGAAACACACTTACCCGATGCTACGCTATGCGACGCTACCCGACGCCTTGCCACGTTTTTGTGGGGTATGCACATCTGTCCGACGGAAGCACACGTCGCGTACAGTCCATAGCGTTTGTCACAATAATCACTATCACAATCGCAACCCTTCTTTTGTTCTTAATGCACTATTTTGAGCAAAACCTTGTAATAAATTGTTAGTTAAATTTTATGAGCACAACCATCTAATAAATTGTTTGTTAAACTTAATTGTTTTAAATAAAGTTACTCCTAACCATCATAATTAAACAATGTTTATAAAAACNATGAGATTTTATTATATATATATATATGCTATATAATTCTTTATATTTCTCACTGGTTATTAGTATGCTTATTGTGGTTGTCTATTATGGAGCGTATGTCATTAACCCGAAGAAAATCTCATTAAATCTCACAACCTGTCTGTTTTTCAATACTTTAAACACATTTTCAAATATAAAACTTGAAAATACATTTCGAAATAGCTTAGCGTTTATAGTTCGATTACTAAATACAAGATGAGTAGGACGGAAAAATACAAAACACTGCACTTAAAGATTGCACCATTGGCTTCCATTATGAAAGAAAGATTCAACTGAAGAGAAATTGAAAAATGAAGAAATCCTAGACCACACAGAAGGAACAAAGGTGGATTTTTCTGTTAAGGCAGCTTTTCTTTCTTATTTATTCTCCCAATATATTTCGTTTTTTCAATTTCAGGGCTCGTCCTCTTGTATCTTCTCACTGAAGTATTAACTGCTCTTAAACTATTCTAAAACGGAATTGTATTTTCAACTCCTCAAAACACATTTTACTAAACTGACGTTTGATTGTTGGCAGTTAGTTTCAGTAGTTGGAGAAAAGAAACTATTCAGATGAGATTCGAATAAAAAGCAGTTTAGACTTGGATTTTCCAGGAAAACAACTTCAACTTCATAAATAATGTTAAAATCAGAGGATTATCTATTCGTTTCCCCCAGCTTATCCCGTAATCCCGTTTTGGGCCAGCTTAAACTCCGGCTCAGCTCGGTATATTTCAGTTTATCCACAGTTATTACTCGAAAGAGGGTCGTCCCTTACACAACTCGTCCTTCTATTTAAGATAAAAGCTGAAAATTCAATTCTGAAATACGATTGTTCCTTTTCAATTTAACTGTAATCTTCAAAAAAATATTATTGTTTATTTCGATAAGTCTTAAATAAAATATATTGTTCAATAAAATTTTATTATTTACATACATTTATATATTTACAATAATAAGAAGAAACAATTTTTTCATATTCACACATTTTTCATAGTTTTCGACTATATAATAAATGTACAAGATTTTATCGTTATTTTCTACCCAAAATATACTTTTCTTTTGAATAATTTTACATGCGTTTTTTAACATTTATCATATTTAGCATTTTGAAACAAAAGTATAATTTCTGGTTAATTTTTAATATTCCCAATAACTAATATAAATATTCATTCTGATTTATTAAATCTTAACTATTAGGAATGATTTGATTGACAGTATAGTTTTTTGTTGTGTTTTTAATTCCCCCAATAACCAATAAGCATATTTTTTCCGACTCATTAAATCTTAACTATTAGCAATGATTTGATTGACAGTGTAGTATTTTGTTGTGTTTTTAATTCCCCCAATAATCAATAAACATATTTTTTCTGACTTATTAAATCTTCTCTATTAGGAATGATTCGATTGACAGTGTAGTTTTTTGTTGTGTTTTTAATTTCCCCAATAACCAATAAACATATTTTTTCCGACTTATTAAATCTTAACTATTAGGAATGATTTGATTGACAGTATATTTTTTTATATTTTTTTAATACCCCAATAACCACTGTAAATATTGTTTATGACTTATTAATTCTTAACTATTGGGAATGATTTGATTGACAGTATGGTTTTTGTTTGTTTTTTTGTTCTCCCAATAACCTGTAAACATATTTTTTTCAGGCTTATTAAATCTTAACTATTAGGAATGATTTGATTGAAAGTATAGTTTTTTTGTTTTTTTTTAATATCCCCAATAACCACTATAAATATTTTTTATGACTTATTAATTCTTAACTATTGGGAATGATTTGATTGAAGTCGAGATGTCCAAAGGCTCGATTAAATATTTCCGTGAATGCAGTGCTGACAATATCATTGATCAGGGGTCGGACGACGACGAAGCCTGGCCTCCATGAAATGTTGATCATCCTATCGAGCATGTTTTCTAAAAAGACAAAATTATTCTTTAAATAAGTAGAAAACATTATAATTTTATTTTCAAAATCTTATAATATTATAAGTCTAAACATTAAAAATGTTTGTGGTGATTAGTGACCGTTAATCGATAATTATTCAGAAATCGTGAGATGCGGTCTGGTGTGATGTAGGTTTCAGAAAAACCTTTTCTTTATCTCTTTATCAAGCCAACGTTTCGATCTTTATTGAGATCATCTTCAGGGCCTGGGATTTGCATTGTATAAATTCACTTTTCCACATCCTAAATGTATTTGTTAAATGTAAACATTATTTGTAAATCCCAGGCCCTGAAGATGATCTCAATAAAGATTGAAACGTTGGCACGATAAAGAAAATGTTTTTCTGAAACCTACATCACACCAGACCGCATCTCACGATTTCTGAATAATTATTAAACATTTTTAGCCTTCGTGTCGTAAAACTAGTATAATAAGTTTTAATATAATGCATCATTACCCATAACAGCTCGTCCTCTTAGGAGGTTACCGATGTGCAGTTTCATGTCTCCAATGCTGTCAACCTCAATCCTTACTTTTATGGGACTAGATGGGTCAGGTTTGGACAAGGTTGTCGTCTGACGGTAATCGTCTGAAATCGAATGGAACTATAAGCCATGACCAAAGCTGATAACTGATAAAATAAAGCAACCTTCTCTAGTCTTAGAAATATGTTACCAATTCAATAATTCAGCAAAAAGGGAAGAAGGTTTTAAACTGTTGGTCACTTATTGTTTCGTATATACATAAGTATATAAGTAGAACTAACATAATTCATAGAATAACTGTACCTGTAATAATACATGATTAAGTAATACAATTTATCGTTGAGTTAAAAAGTGCCTATCCTGCCCGGATGACCGAAAAATATTTTTAATGATTTTTAATTATTTATTGCTCCCTGTACAAAAATAAACATTCAGCACATAATACGTGGAATTAATATACAAATCTAAAAGGGAGGTGGAAAGAAGAGCCATCCGATGGTAAAACTCTCATTTATTTATAGTTGGGATAGGCTCAGGATAGGTCACGAGACCATCACTGTTAGTTGGTAATGGTGAAGAAAGAGGTGACTGTGGAAATTGTTGAACGTGTTCGGATCATATCCTTCACGAATAGGGATGTCTAGGTCTTTGTGGATCGTTAGGTTATTGACGTACACGGAGGCATTGAGGATGAGGCAACTTTGGATCGAAAGAATTGGTTTTGGTATATATACCAGGATTTTGCTAACCCCTAAGGTTCGACTTAAGTCCAACTAACGGTCTAATCAATGCTTTGTAAAAAGTTAGTTTATTATGCGAGCTCAGTGTATATTTATGCTCAAGTAGGCGTCTGAATTGTCCGTATTTGTTAGTTCTTGCCGTTTTAATCTAGTATGTTGGTGAAAGTTTGCTATCCAAGGAAATCCCAAGGAAGTGAAAATGGTTGGACGTCTGAGTGTAAACGCTGCTTGATGGCTTTTGCTCGGAAATTGTACTCGGTTTCAATAAAATCATACCCAAAGAAAATTATCGCAAACTGTTTGACACTTAAAATAAATGAGATGGCTATAACGGTACCTGACAAAATGAGAAGAAAACTCAACTTTGATACAGACTTCCATGTCATAAATAGTGGGGATCTTAGGAAAAAAGGCAATCCGAAATTTTAAGAGAGGCCCTAATATAGTTCACATGATTCGACGGATCAAAATTCCAACAGGGAGTGGATGTAGAGGTTGGATACCCTTGGACTGTTCCAATTATTTTCTCAGGTAAGGTTTAGGATTATCCAGTAATCTGGAAGGAACCAAGAAAAACGAACTAACCCCTGTTTTAGGTTTCGAAAATATTCATGTCTGCCTATTACGCAATTTTGCCATCGACCTTTCAAATGGACTTTTACATCTGCCCGAGTCACGTTTTTGAGCCATCCTATCTTATGTATTTCAAGATTTTTTGGTAGGACGTTACTTTTGTTCTTATCTCAAAATCAACTGATACTGAAGGGTTTGTGTAGATACTGTTTTGTATCCCTTGTACTAGGTTATTACTAAGCTATTCTTTGGGTGTGTTCTATTATATTTTGTTAACCTAGTAAGACCATGCTGTGTCTTAGTGCACCCAGTAAGGAGCCATAGGGACATATACGCATCTGAAAACTGTTAATGATGATTCTACTGATTCTACTTAGGTTTGCGTATCTGTAACTTGTTGTTCTCGTCTCCCTAATTTCAGGTTATATTAGGTTGGGTTTGTTTGGTTTTTTACCAATTCGGAGTTTTTGGGTGTATTTATTTTCAACTTCCCGAGAATGATTCTGCACCATCAGGACTGGGTAAGTCAAATAGCTTTTAATATTTATATATTTGGTTCAAAGAACATGATCAAAATATGGTGTCTGTATAAAAGGTTTTGGCTTCAATTACACACGCAGTCTGTCAAGCCTAAAGACTTAGACGATTACTTAGACTTATTTCATTCGGCCACAATTGGACTTATCCGGTTTCCCAGATTGTTCACAATGTAGAGGCCATCTCTGACGATTCGATTAATCTTTTCTTTGTGTCCTCCTTAGTAATAATGATAATGTCGTCAACAAAAGTCTTTTAGTTCATGCCCCTGTTAAACAATATTTTAAAAGCCCATCGAATCTACTTATCCAAAAAATAGGTCCTATCGTACTCATCCTCTATATTTTTGTACTAACTCGTGTTTAATCTTCAATCATCGTATATATATATATATATATATATATA